TATATAACAGGCTGTTAAATAAAATTGCATAGCAAAACAGTATCATCTACAACGGGGATTCTCAACAGGGGGGGGAATTACCCCCTCCCAAGGAGAAATTTCTGTTTTGGGAGGGGAATGCAATCAGCCTTTCATTTGTATGTTAAGTATTTAGTTTTATTTTATGAATATAAAAAAAACTACTTTTATTCAAATGTGGTATTTATTAACATTTTCCATACTTTTTCGTATTTAACACTTAAAAAATTAATCTAAATTTAAATAAATGTATATGTATTTTTTATTTTTATTATTATTATTTTTTTTTTTTTTTTAGTTTGGGAAGGGGGAAGAATGGTGAAAGGGGTGCAGAGAGCTTATAAGGCTGAGAACCTGTGATCTCTAAGATGTTAGTAAATCACCCAGAACTTTTCTTTTATAATCTTATTCACAACAAATTTTTTAAATCTTTGAAACAATGAACCCTTTCTTATTTATCAATGATTAAATGGGATAACTTTTTCAGAATTTTTGGCATTGCAGAAGTGTGGGATGTTACGACTTTATGTGTGTCTTTGTCTTTTCTTCCATTATGATTTCATCTTTGAAAACTACAATACTTTCAGACATCATTAAAAAAAGTTATTTCATTGCAGCAGAAGATGTCTAGACTTTTTTATAAATTTGTCATATTAATTAGCCATTACAGAACTCTACCTTCTTCAGTGCTTGCATTTTCATCTGTTGATGAAAATATTAGTCTGTGCCTTTAAAATTTCTCAATGCATTTTTGATAAATAGGCAATTTCCTCTCTCAAAACCTGTCTCAAGATTACTGATTTCTCTCTTAGTAATTCAAAGCTGAAAGGTACATGGAAGATGTGAACTTCTATAAATCATAGTGCCAATGCACTTTCTTCTCGTTTGAGCTTTATTTTGTTATCTGTTCAGTTTCCTGAATGAATTCCACATTTATAATGTTCTGTATGTTTTAAAAAATTCCTTTTGCAGTTGTCATGAGAATTTCCAAATATTCTGCTAGATTTTTAATCTGATACCTTAATTGTAAGTCGTTCCTGATTTTGCTTTTAGCTCCATTTTAGTTGATGAAATTGTGTCATAATTCTCTTGTTCATGTATAATTTATATAGCAGCTAGTTTCTCTTTGAAAATTCTCTACAAAGTCATTCATTTCTAAGTTTATAGTTTTTGCATTCTTTACTGTGATTAATTAACCAACTAGCCAAAATTAACTTGCCCCCAAACTCCTTAGTTTTTCAGTCTTATTTGAAGTGATGTATAGCATCATAACATATATAAATACAAACTTTAATAAAATAAGAGTGCACACAATGTAAACTGTACGTTTTGTGATAATAAAATTTTAGAACCAAGTTAATATCTGAAATTTTTTAGACATGGGCAGAGAAATGGGCTAAAAACAGTTATTTGTTAGATATGTAAATTTGAACCTGTATCGCACATGGTAATTTGTGGCAGTAATTGCAATTTATCAGCCGTAGAATAAATTTTAAAAGAAAATAAAAGTGTAGATGTGAGAGTATTATCACACAATGATTTGCTATGATTTTAAAGGGGGATAAATAAGAATGCCTTCAGTGTGTTACAATTAGCACGCACAGATAAAGCCATGTTTTTGCTGCTGTATTCAGATGGTTTTACAGAATTTCATGGAGGTTGAAATGCTGTCCTCTGTGAATTCCATAACTTATAAGCAGTCTTTTGCCAGCTATAGCATGTGAAAATGTGTTGCACATACAAAAAATAGTAATTATGATAATCACTGTGCCTACCAAAAGATACAAAAGGAACTTAACATTGGATCCAGAGCTGCATATGGAAATATTCAGGAAGAACTACATATGAAAAAATTAGTTTGTCATCATATCTCTGATAAATAGCAGAACACCAAAAAGTGGATCCTGTCATAATCAGAAAAGAAACCTTAAATTTACTTATCTACAATTGTAGCTGGTGATGAAACATATTTGAGTATTGTTTACATATGAAATACTTTTTTTTTTTTTTTTTTTTTTTTTTTTTTTTTATGTTATATTACATCAAGAAATTAGAATATGGGTCTTGGAAGACGACCCCTAACCAACAATAATGAAAAGCCAATGAGCAATTAGTAAAGCAATGTATGCTGCTTTCTTCAGAAATACGTAGCTAGAAGTACGAAAGTAAAAATACGAAATCAGCTGGTGAAAGCTATTTAGTTAGAGGGACAGACAACAGTTACAGCTAACTATACTGGTGGACAAAATTAAGAGATGGAACACTTTTTAAATATCTCAAGAAATACTGGATAGAAATAAATGAAATTAGGCATGAATATATAGTATGACAATATGTACAAAGCAACATTGAAAATGCCATTCATTAGCATGAGTTATGGGCAAGAATCCATTGTGGTCCAAACTTGAGGTTGAAAGATGGCAGTGAAAATGTGGATAGTATGGTCTGTGGCCGCTTCTGACAGACAGACAGCCTGCATAACGAGTAGCCATGCTGTTAACAAGAAAGTTCATGTGTGCCTGTGGAAGTCGTGACCACTCCTCCACCAGAGCAGTTTCAACTCCTGAATGGTTCTGGATGAGGTTTGACATATTGCAGCAGCCCTCTCCAAGAGCATTCCAAGCATGTTCATTAGGATTAAGGTCAGAAGATTTGGCTGGCCAATTCTCTCAGTGAATATCCCCACTCTCCAGATAGTCAACCATGATATAGATATATTGGGCTCTATGTGGTCGTGCTTTGTTGTCCATAAAATTGAATTTGTGGCCAGCAGCAGCCACAAAGTCGCATATAGGGCTCTAAGATCTCCTACCTGTACCCTCTGGGCATTCACAGACCCAGTCAAACACAGCTCCATTACCATATTGTCCCTTTCCATGATGTTGCTGGGATGGTGTCAGGTTTCAGGTTCCCTTCATATGAATAATTGCTGATAATCAAGTTGTAGACTGAATATTTACTCATCCGTGAAGACAGCTTTCGCCCATTTAAGATGTGTCCAATGCTGGTGTTGTATGCACCACTGTAAACACTCTTTTTTGGGAGGGAGTGAGTGGAATGCAAATAGCGAGCTTTCTGGTATACAGTCCTGTATCATGTAGGCTTCTGGCAACTGACTTCCTTCAAACTGATGTTCCTGTGGCAGTAGCGAGGTCACAAGACAGTTGTGTGGCTGTAAACATCCTCTGCTCTAGGCTGAAAGTACCAAATACTGGTCGTTATTGGTAATTGTGACTCTCTGGCAACTTTGTCCTGGTCTTCTGAACATTGTCCCACTGTTTTTAAACTGATGCCACAAATTAGAGATGACGGTATTGCATTCTGTTCTCTAGCATGCTGAGCTTAGGACTGCCCTTCCTAAACATACTTACGATTCTGTATGTCTTACCTTCGTCTGCACAATGAACGATGTGTATACATTTGACCTAAAAAACAGTAGAAAACAAAAAGTTTATTCACGAAAGATGATAAAAATCGTTTCCGTGCTGCAGAGCGGAATGCGCTGAGCAGCTGGACGCAGAATTTTATACCTCCTGCTGGCGTAGCGATGCCCGCAGTAATACATAAAACTCATCTTAGTGACACCAGAGTCACAGTGACATTATATGGCAACCAACTGTTCAGGTTTTATGTGGTATTTTAGGAGAAATGCAATCAAATGTTTTCCATTTCTTAATTTTGTTCACCAGTGTAGTATACCATTAAATGTCCTCCAGAAATTCTTCAAGAAGTGAATCTTAGGTGACTTGTGCTTCACTGTGACAATGCATCTTCTCATTCAGCAAGACTGACAATCGAATTTCTTAAACAAAAACACATTAGACTGATAGATAACCTAACATATTCTCATAATGTTATTATGTGTGACCAGTGGCTATTTTTTAATCTAAAACAAAATTTGTGTAATTTTCATTCCAGAGATAAAACTGCAGAAGAAATAGAAGCATATTTTTCATCAGTTTCAAGAAATTGATAGTTTGAAGCATTTAATCTTTGGAAAATAAATCTGTAAAAGTGTCTTGATATAAGGAAACTATTTTGAACATGCCTAAGATTTGGTAAATTTAACTTGTCCTTTTTAGCTGTATCTAGAAATTTCAGAGTGAGTGTCGTATTTGCATTACTGCATGGAAAATAACAAAATTTCCAAAGATGATTTGATTAATTGCCTAAAACCAGTTTGATGTCCTCTAAGCTGCCTTTCTAATCTGTTCTTAGAGCTGGCTCTGAATAGTTGTATGAAACAAGCAAAATATTCATGAGTGTAGAGAGTCTGTGATATGAATATGTGTCATAGTGATTTTCTAGATTAAAATAATTATGGTTTTTTTGTTATTTTTGTGGCTGCTGTTATTAGAACTCCCAATTATTGTTCTCAATTTGCTGGGAATGAAAAGCTTAATTTTTATTGCTAAAATGTGTGTTGCTTCATAGCAATTGTAGAAGTTTTTTATTACTATGAAGTTCAAGTTACTGGTGTTAAAATTTGGTTTTGGTTATTGATCCTGCAATGCTAATATTATAGTTGCACAATGCTGGTGAATTTAATCTTTTGCTCATTTATCATAAGTGCAGAATCAGCCATATGTTAGGCCTTAATATAAACTTAAAATGCCTTTTATATTAATTTTCTTATTTTATGGGTTTCCTCTTTATATATTGTCTTCTGTGTGGTAGTTTTTAGTTCTATAAAACTTTCCTTGTATATTTAAAACGTTATTTTTATTTTACCAAGAAACTTAAATTGCTGATAGTTTAATAAGTCTTTGGTTAAATAAAATATGGTTTAGTCTTTGGTTAAGTAAAATATGGTTTTGCAGTATAAAAAGTGTTTTCCCATCCGTAGTGCAAGTTCAGTATGAAGAATAATTGTATGGCATTATACATGGAGGAGGCTTGAAAGTTATCATTCTTTAAAATTATATTTCTGTAAGGTTATTGTATGACATGAATGGTTAAGTTTTTTTTAAATTTCTTAACAGGCTCTTGCTGAAATACTTGTCCTTTGGGGTACAGTAGGTGCTTGCACTTACACATTTGCATCTGTCAATAAGACTGCTGCCTACCTTATGGTACCTTATTGGGCTTGGTTATCACTGGCTTCAGCACTTACTTACTGCATATGGAGAGACAACAAGGATAAAGAAGATTAATGTTGACCTATAGATCAAGACCTTTTTGTCACCGACTATAATTTGCCAGTGAATTGAATTGAATAGCTTTTAAAAGTGTCCAATGTATTATGTATGAATTTTATTGAAAAATAATTTTTACATACAGTGATATTTTTATACTTAAAATTTGTCGATAAATTCTTGCTTTGTAGTAAAAGGGCGCTTTAGAAAAAGCGTTTTTCGATGCCTTTACAATTAGGAAATACTAATCTTAAATTACGTTTTTACTTTTGTAAGATTTGTATTGTACAGGATTTTATTTTTGTAATAATTTTATACCTAAGAAAAATACATTGCTTTTTTTAACAATGAAGTTCTTTGTTTTTCTTACACTCAAAGAAAATTTTAGAAACAAGAAGATACTTTTTAATAGCTTATTAAATGTTTCATTTATTTTGATATTTTCTTATGAAGCAAGCTTTGACTTTATATTATTTTTACAAGTTTCTTGGGGAGGAATTCCATGTATAAATGAATTAGAAATTTTTGGTATACATGTTCATTGGTTATTCTTTTCCCTCCTTCACTGATTTTTATATATTTTTCCTGTTTTGGTTAGAGGTTATAGGGTTTTATACTTTCTAAAATCATTAGATGTATTGATATTATGAGAAAAAATGTTGTTACTTTACATACATTTATGTTTCTTGAATAGAAATAATCATTGGTTCTGCGAGATATGTTGTTGTAAATATCAGTAACTGTGTACATTTTCCATTCTTTTCACTGCATAGATTAAAGATCTACTATATATATTTCTTACTGAAATATCTTAGGAATTTTTTCAAATGCCTGTTGACAGGAGTGTTTATAGAAACAGTTGTCAGCAAGTTTAGGTTTTAGATTGAACATGCTGCTGCTCCTGAAAAATGTTCATTTTAGCAACCTCAGTCTTACCATCAGGTGTTCCTGTAGACTTTCGAAATAGAAAAGACCAGAAATATTTTATTCCACATCAGTTCATCTTTCCACATTGTTTTGTTCTGTGTGACTCTGTTTGGTTCAGGATAAAGAGCTTCATGTGTTTTTGATGGATATGAATCAGGTTTTCAATGCACATCCCTGATTCATTCAGATAGATTAGATCAGGTTATACCACTTCTGATGACAATTGTTGGTTATCTGCATTTTCAGAGTGGTTTTTTTCTTTAACTGTGCTACATAGCAGATTTGTCAACCATATATCAAAGTATCATTCATTTGTATCAGGAAAAAGGATACTTGCTATTAAAGAGAGTATTCTTGTGAGCAATATCTAAAACATTTTTTAACTCCTTCATAAGATATGATTATCTGTTGTTGGGTGATTTATGTATTTGCGGTTTCTTTTTTCCTTCTGGAATCTCTACAGTCTTAAAGTTCCTCTGAAAAGAGATCAAATTTTAATTCATCTATTTAGAGATACAAGACTCTTAATGGAAAGAGTTAATTTTCTTTGGAACTGATGTGGCATGTTGGCATTTACTTGATTTGAACATTTTCAATAGCTGGTGGAAAATGTTTTCATCTGCAGCAGATAGCATATTGAGTAATATGATAGTTCAGTGTATTTAATATGATGCTCAATTATCAGGTTATTGTACTGTTAAAATACAATGCTGATTTTTCAGTGTATATATACACTGCTTTAGCAATGCTGGTCTTTTTCTAGAAGGTGGAACCTCAGTAACCTCTGAAGGCTGTTTTTCTATACCTTGAAAATTCTTTCTGTTATTCAGTTCAGTGTTAACCAATGTGCATTTCAAAGAGTTATTCAAATTTCTTCTTTAGAGACCTGAAGATGTGACTAATTTAATGAAGATCAGAGCTGAAGAATAAACCGTGTTGAATATGCTATAACATTTTTGCTATTACATAATTATAAACATTATGTTATAGCAAAAATAAACATTAAACATGTTATAGTATTTTTGAAAGAACAGTCGTAGTCTTCGAGTTTTAGAGCTGTTTATTGCCATTACAGACCTCTACATACAACTTATATACATCTGATAATTTTGTAGAGCATGATAGCAATATTTTATGTTGCACAGAAGAGAATACACCAATTATTTCTCAGTCATGGTTGAGGAGATTATAGATGTTGCTGAAATACAGATAGGGATAGAATTTGGAGCCCAAAAATAGTTGCTGACTCACCACATAATTTCTTGATGAATAATTTTTTGGGTCACGGTTTTCTTTTTTACCCATCACTGTTGGTGCGACAAGCACCCCACAATTATGTATACACTTATCACATTTTGAGACAATAGATCAAACAGTGAAGTAAGGAGATGTGCATTAGCAGGCCAAAAGAAAGTAGAAAAAGTAACTGTACATTTCAGCAAAGGGGTATTTGTAGATTTGAATTCTTTGTTTAAATTTTAGATTGTAATTGGACAAGAACTTACTGCATCACAAAATTAAACATGAACATGCACTGAAGTGACAAAAGTCATGGGATAGCAATATGCAAATACACAGATGGCAGTAGTATCACGTAGAAAATGTATAAATGCGAAGTGCTTTGGCAGGGCTTTCATTTGTGTTCAAGTTATTCATGTGAAGAGGATTTGACGTGATTATGGCCGCACGATGAGAATTAACAGACTTTGAACGCGGAATAGTAGTTGGAGCTAGACGCATGGGTCATTCCATTTCGGATATCGTTAGGGAATTCAACATTCCGAGATCCACAGTGTCAAGAGTGTGCCGAGAGTATCTAATTTCAGGCATAACATCCCACCATGAACAGCGCAGTGGCCGACCACCTGCACTTAACGACCGAGACCAGCGACGTCTGCGTAGAGTTGTCAATGTTCACAGACAAGCATCACTGCGTCAAATAACCACAGAAATCAATGTTGGACATACGAGGGACGTGTCCGATAGGACAGTGCAGCGAAATTTGTCTTCCTTGGGCTATGCCAGCAGAAGACCGACTCGAGTGCCTTTACTGACAGCACAACATCGCTTGCAGCAACTCTTGTGGGCTCGTGAGCGTATCGGTTGGTCCTTAAACAAATGGAAAACCGTGGCTTGGTCAGATGAGTCACGATTTCAGTTGGTAAAAGCTGATGGTAGGGTTCGAGTGTGGCGCAGACCCCACGAAGCCATGGACCCAAGTTGTCAACAAGGTACTGATCAAGCTGGTGGTGGTTCCATAATGGTCTGGGCTGTTTTTTACATGGCATGGACTCGGTCCTCTGGTGCAACTGAACCAATCATTGACTGGAAATGGATACCTTCAGCTACTTGGAGATCATTTGCAGCCATTCATGGACTTCACGTACTCAAACAACGATGGGATTTTTATGGATGATAACGCGCCATATCACCAGGCCACAATTGTTTGCGGTTGGTTAAAAGAACATTCTGGACAATTCCAGCGAATGATCTGGCCACCTAGATCGCCCGACATGAATCCCATCGAACATTTATGGGACATCATCGAGAGGTCAGTTCGTGGCCAAAAACCCTGCACCGTCAACACTTTCAAAATTATGGACGCCTATAGAGGCAGCATGGCTCAATATTCCTGCAGGGGACTTCCGACGACTTGTTGAGTCCATGCCACGTCGAGTTGCTGCACTTCGCCGGGCAAAAGGAGGACCGACAAAATATTAGGAGGTATCCCATGACTTTTGTCACTTCAGTGTAGTGCGTTTTTGTTTTCAGATTTGATGCATTTTATATTTCAAAAAGGAGACGTAGCCAGATTAAAATGAAAACTTAATAGGACGATTGCTATATTAAAATAGTAATTTGTTCATATTTTATGTCTATATGAATATATTTTATATATATGCATGTACCTATATGCATAGTAGGCACTACTTAATGTAATAAAAAATAATGTCATTCAGTACTTTTTTGTTTCGCCGTCGCAAATCTCCCCAAGCAGATTTTATTGGCTACAACATACAGTACACACATAAAAAATGTTAACAAATGTCAGTTGTAAGAATTTTTTATTTTGAAGGCATAAACATTTTAATAGCGTTTAAAATTTAGTAAAAAGTCAATAAATAAAGACAATAAATTTTTAAAAATACAATTTAAGAATTTACTATGCTTTCATGGTTCAACATCCTGATTTGCCGGATCGTATCATGTAAACCCTAGTTATCTCATCTCACGTAAACTACGTTACAAAAATCTAATTCTCTCAGTAATTATTTACATTAATTTCAAGCTAAATCTTAGTTTGGAACACAAGTTTAAATGCAAGAATCATTTCAATTCGTACGAATACCTTACTCAGAAATTATGTAAACCCGCAGTGCTTTACTTAGTGCATTCTGATTAGAATTAATGAAGTTAACCCTTGACTTTGCCTTTCTATATTTTTGCCTTTGGGTGAACAGTGTGATTGCATCTTTATTGACTTAGTTACCACAAATGGCCTTAAGGCATAAAATTGAACTGTCTGGTAAAAATTCTATGTAATTGTATGCCAGCATTGAAAGGAACAATCAATCTCATAAGAAATGGCTGTGAGTTGTTTTGAAAATGAGGTGGAAAAGGTTACCAGCGAGGATATTCCGTTTGGCATCAGTTGTACCATTATTAGCGACTGTATCGCATGCGGCAGCAAAATGGAAAGTACCTGTTATTCTGTTATCATTCTGATATCTTTATTGAATTGCCCAAATTCCTCCTGTTTGTATATGAAAACATGGAAAATACATCGATTAATGTTATCAAAATATCATAGAATTAATATTTTATTGATTTAAGGCTATTTTAAAATCTTGGAACTGCATCTAAGAAAAGGTAATAAAGAACTGTTTTAGGCACGGCAAACTTTTAATAAATGATGAAAGAAAATTTAAAATGCCTGCAACCAATATGAATTATCTTGAATCTTATCCAACCAACATGAATTGTTTTTGAGAAATTTTATGCTTGATATTGAAGAAAACCCTCCTGCAGATTCAATAATAGAAAAAGACATTTGCTTATTGCTATCTGAAACAAATCAGAGCAGATAATGTGATAAACTTTTCTTATAAACTTTAAGTTAGTTATGAGGGGGGGGTCTGTCAATATTAAGAGATTCAGTATGAATGAAATAATTTCCAGAAGCATTGTGAAGTTCAAAATTGGAACTTGTGTGTAAGAATTTCAGAAATCAACTGTTAAGGACCCTTTTTCCAAATTGAAATGCTGTGAAAGTAAATATTAATATTTTTCTTATTGTATTGTTACAAAATGTACAGGCGTGGTAAGATGGCTTCCCCGCAAAGCAGCTTTAGGGTTGCCATACAATAGCAAGGGAAGGCAGGGTTGCCACATTTGGCTAGAAATCGCCCGTTTGGCGACAAAGTT